AAGGTTGTTTCATGTAGTTGCTTCAGACTTGTGCTCCAGCCTTTTTCTCATTCCCTGGAATAAGAAAGAGTATGGTGCCTACGTAGCTCTTGTAGGAATGGTATAAATTGCGAAGCAGAGACAATCAGCACAAATTAATTTGACTGCATGTTCCTCTGCTGTCATTTGGCATGACTCAAGAGAAAAATCCATGTCACTGAAAGCAGAGACCGAGTTGTGGCAGTACTGGTTTTTTGCCGCTGTGTATGGTGCGCATCTCCTATTCTGGAGTTGATTTGTTAGGCTCAAACTTATTTAAAACAAACAAAAAAAAGGAACAAAAAAGCAACAAAAGAAACAATTCCCCCCCCCCCCCCCCTCCCCCCAAACAAATACTTCAAATGTAGTTCTTCAGTTAGGCTTTTGTTACCCCAAATCCAAACCATATTTTGCTGTTTGACTTGTGTTTTGTTGTGATAGGGTGCTGTTTACACATATAACAACTTAATAAAAGGAAGGGGAAAACTGCAATGGTGTTTGTTTAACAAAAGGGATTTGCTAGATTTTCATCGCTGGGCTTGCGTTTCCAAACTGCTTAACGCGCATCAGAAGAAATCCTCTCTTTCTTCCTCCTTCCCCTCCCTCCCGCTCCCAGGAGCATTTTGGGAATGCTAATCTTAGTGTGTCTTAAGCCACCCCTTATGAGTCTGCTTCCGATAAATTTATCGGAACTGATTGGAACTTAGTTGGTAAGGCTTGGTAATGCTTTAGCTCTAGTGTAAACTCAATTCCCTTTTAGATCTTCAGGATTTTTTTTTTTTTTACCAGTTTCCATCATTTCCAGCTGTGTGTCTTTTTTTCTTATTACGCTTCAAAATGTAGTCTTCATATTGTTTCCTCAAGCAACTGTGCTCTCCTAAAGCAGTAGTCAAATTGTTATCAGAAGCTCTCAGTTTCTTATTTCATTTGATGCTCATGCAGCAGTCCTTGGTTCTCCTGAAAAACATTGCAGTCTTGCTGTATGTTCTCTTGTTGCAAGTCTGCAAGCTTCCTGTTTGCCAAAACCTTTTTTTGTTGAGAGAGGGGAAGAAACAGCTTTGAGTGTCGCTTCCAGGTCTGTGTAATATCCATATCATTCAAATATTTCTTAAATTCAGTTTCTAGAATGGGATTCTGAAGCACAGGAAGTTCCACCTAAACCTGAGAAAGAACTTCTTGACTGTGAGGGTGACAGAGCATTGGAACAGGTTGCCCAGAGAGGTAGTGGAGTCTCCTTCGCTGGAGATATTCAAAAGCCGTCTGGATGTGATCCTGGGCAATCTGCTCTAGGTGACCCTGCTTGAGCAGGGAGGTTGGCCTAGATGATCTCCAGAGGTCCCTTCCAACCTAAACCATTCTGTGATCTAACGTAGCCTTTAAGTGTGGTGGAACATATTTCTGAGAGCTCTATAACTGAAGTTCTATATTTCACTCCATTTTGATTTTTGGTCTGTACATATTATTTCCTTTAATCTTTTTGTACCTTAGAAAGTTTTTTCTCTCTCCTGTACAAAAAGAAAGAACAGAAATCTTTGTTTTGCCATTATTTGCAGAATCGGTATCCTTTATTGCTGCAGGTTAAGTATTCTACAACTTCACTTGAAAAAAAGCTATGAACAAAATTACCAGAGATGCTCCTCTTAAAAAGGGATCTCAAATCTAGCATATTGGTTATGCCTTCTCTTTCGCTTTGGGAAGGTTTGGCAACTTTTTTATATGTTACTGTTAATTGACTCTTAATTTAAAGTTGTCTCCATGTCCTGAAAGGAAAGGAGAATTGAACGGTGTGGAAAAGTGGGATACATTTCATAAGAGGTGTGAGATCAGAATCTCAAGCTACAGAGGAGTCCTGTGTTGAAAGCACAAACATAAATAATTCTGAAAGCTCACTTTTTGGAAAACGAAAGTTTTACGTAAGAGGTTTCTGTGCTGTAAGTTTGTGAGTTAAGTAATAGTTGGAGTGATTTATAGCTTAGAATCTTTTTCTCCTAGCTTGTCCTGACAATCTTTTCAATAAAATGAAGTCTTCCTGCTCAAAATCAATAAGGAGATGCAAGGAAATCAGCATTTCCTTCTTCCCGTATGAGTCTCAGGTAAGTTTTGTTCTTTATCTTGACTGCAGAAAGTAGCCTGGAGTTCTATTTCCATGTGGTGTTGACTTGCTCGAAAACAATTTAAAAAGGTAGGACTTTTTATTTCTTTTTCCCTGAAAAATTGTATGTGAGGCCTATTACCACTTTGGCATATTTTCAGTGCTTGCCAGTATTTTTCAGACCAAAACGAGTATTCCTGTACTCAAAAGATTTACTTTGTAGTTTGAGGGCTTGGTCCCTTTTATCATAAAATTTTTATTATTTAGACTGAGAAGCAATAAGAGAAGGATTAGTTTGTTTGTTGTTTTGTTTTTTGTGGTATTGACTTTCCCAAGTTTTGTCTCAAACTGGTTCCGGGAGTTCTGCTGAAATTGCTCTTGGCAAAAAGTTCTGTAGCTTTCTTCATATAAAACCTGCAGACAATGAGGATAAAGTTTTTATCTTGAGAACAGAAAATGGGACTACTTTTCTAATGTTGAAAGTAAGGAACGCTTAGTCTTTTCTTGTTTCTAGTTTGATTTTCTGTCTTCAGTATTTTGGATTGTGAGAACACTTTGAGACCTCAGTGAAGGAAGAGAGAATGTCCCCCTGGTTTAAGTTCCTTGGACCTGCTTTTTGGGTTGATTTGGACTGAACTCCAGTCAGTCCATAGAAAATTCTTCTCTGGCTATGTAGGTAGAGTCCACCTTAAGCTGGAGAAAAGCTATTTACTGATGACAGGATGTTTTCACATTAGCCTTCTATTTACTGAACTGATGAAAAAGTTCTTCTGTGTAATGTTAGATATCTTTTCATCGAGACTTAATACATTTAGGAGTTCAAACTCTTGGAGGTCAAGTCTTCATTTAACAAGCGCATACAGTATATACAATTCTATTTTTAAACGGATCTAACGTGATACCTTCTATAATCATTCTGGCATTGAGTTGTGTGGTTTTGTACCAGATGGCTGGCCTTATTTAGTTACATCTGTCTCAGATTGATCCGTCCTTACAGACACTAAGCAGTTTGACGTACGTAGTAATTTGGAGTTTGAAATATATAGTAATTTCTGTAGGGTAGAAGAGAAAATGGAGGAGAGTAATAAAGGAGAGCAGAGTGAGAACTTGAAGAAGATAAGCTCAACAGGACACAAGAAGATAGGTTTTAAAAAAAAAAAAAAAAAAGGCAACAATAGCCAAGTTGTGTATTTTGATGTATAATTTTTTTATTACAGTATTCAGTTTTAAAGTATTAACAGTTTGTCTTACACAAGATATTTTAGAAATGTACAATCGAAGCCTTTTTTTTTTTTTTCTTGGTTGTGCTTTACTTAGGTGTTTACTCTCAATGTCCCGGATGCCTTCTACCGCTGTTATAGTCCAACTTTGGAAAAGACGAAGGATAAAGACTCTGTAATGGAAGTTATGGCTGAACAGATTGTTACGTTATGTGCCACTCTAGAAGAGAATCCAGGAGTACGATATAAAAGGTGGGACAAAAATTGTTTTGTATTAATGCAGTCATCTTCATTTTTAGGATTTCTAGGACTTCCTATATTGTTTGGAAGTAGCTTGAGATTGTAGAATTGTTTCTTTTATTGTGGATTGTTTTTAATCCACAGTTTTAAATACATACATACATGCATACATATGTGTGTGTATATATATGTATATATGAAACTACAATCTGTTGGCAAAACAGGAGGTTATCTATTTGTGTGTATACGTAAACAGTGCTTTTCACCCACTGTTTGTGGGGCTCTTCTGGCTATGTTCTGAGGTGAGTCCCGTTAATAGATTTGCTCTGGGCACTGCCCTGATTAGGCTACGGTCTCGTCTGTGTTAGCAAATGAAGCGTTTCTTTGCACATCCTTGCCTGAAAATCTTGAGGGTTGTGGATATTGTTAAAGGTGATGTGCGCTTGCGAGATTGAGCTTTGCCTAAAATGTAAGTCCAAATGGCTGCAGCCGTCCCCTGAGTAAGACCATTGGAAGAGCAGGTGGCTGCAGTGGTGGGCTTCTTAAAGAGTAGCCTCATGAAAAAGGGCTCTTGACTAGGTGGTGATCCTAGGTTTAAGTGTGTGTCTCCCACCTCTGAGCGGGAATTTTACATCTTGGGTCATGTATCAGCTAATATGTCTTCTGGTTGAAGCTGTTCCTACTTTCTGAAATACCAGAATTATTCAAAGACTGGAATCATAATTTCTTTAAGAGTGAAAATATGTTGGAAATATGTAGAGCAGAGTTCAGAAACTGCTTGTGCAACCAGAGGATCAATTTAGGGAGCTTTAAAGGCAGCATTTTAGCTTGTGATTAAGAAATTAAAGTGATTTTTGCATGTTTTCTTTTTTCCTCAGCAAACCACTGGATAATGCCAGCAAACTTGCACAACTTGTTGAAAAAGGTCTTGAAAACTACTATAAAACTGATGAGAAAAGCCAAGTAAAGGTAGAACTTGAGTTAAAATGTTTACTTAGTTTTGAGTGTAAATTGTTTTCGAATGTGTTTTAACAACAGCTTCCGCAAAACCAGGTTTAATTTATTATTAAACAAAAGTAGCTAGCTGACCTTCAACCCTTTTTATTTATAAAGGGAACTTGGAAGAGGTAGTAACTGGTATGAATATCTGTATTAAAACAAATATAATTTCTGTGTGAGATATTGCACAAACTAATTTGTACTTGGAAAATGGGCACTTTACTAATGCAGAGTATGATGCAGACCTGAAGAGAAGTGTGTAACTTCTGCTTTAGTGTAACCTTTCCTTAGGCTACATGTAAAAGGGACTTCACTACAGAATTGAAATGCCTTCCGTTAAGGGATTTATTCTCCCCACGCAGAAGCATGGGGTAAACTGTTCTGACTCAGTAACGTTCCTCTTTTCAAAAGAAATTAATGTAACTTAAGTTACCTCTACTCTACTAAATCCTGACGTGAAACCTCAGCTGAATGTTTGCAGATCATAATACAGAATTCATTCTGTACTGCACTACAGTACAGATGATGTACTCTGAAATACAAACATTATACGTATTAGAGAATGACTAATGGATAGCCTGAAGCACTTTTTTGTGCTATTTTCTAATCTTTAAAATCACTTTGTTGATTAGGTGATGTTAGTGAGTGCATTGCAACGAGCCTAACGGCATTCCCTTAAAATTACTGTTGAGAAGCATTGTGTTCTGATTGTTGTTTAAACAAAAAATTTATTCCTACTTTTCTTGATAAACTTATTTTTTTTCTAAGTTAGGAAAATTGCTTAAGCAGGAGGATAGGTTTTTTAAAAAATGTGTGGAGTACTATAATTTAATACAGATTTAGTATGCATTAACTGTGTACTGTGTATCTTAACTTTCCATTTATCTGATGTTTTTTAGGCTAAAACCCACTCCCAACTATTAATAATTGATCGTGGCTTTGACCCAGTATCAACTGTACTTCATGAGCTCACTTTCCAGGCAATGGCATATGATCTGCTACCAATTGAAAATGATACTTACAAGCAAGTTTTTTCCTTTTAATATAGACACTTTAGTCTTAAATATTCCATAGATCTTATAATCAAATAAGGTGAACTGCACTAAAGTGTTTTTTTTTTTAAGTGTTCATACTATATAGGGGTGGCTTCAGTTATTTTAGTTTCTCTCTTGATTTTTATAACTTTCTCTTTCTGTTAACTTCCTCATTTAGTTGAGATTAGGTAGGATCCAGTTAGCATTTTTGCTAAGCTTGATTCTGACAAGTCACGTTGTTTCTTGATTTCTGCTTAAGTACATCTGTGTGGGGTTTTTTTTTTTTTTTGTTTTAACAAAATATTTTGTACTAGACCTGAAGCAGAACCTTGCTAGTGCACGTTCAGATTCTCAACGTTTTGCTTTTCGTAGTCTCAACCTTCTTGGCTTAACAGGGCAAACGAGATGGCCAGTAGCATAAGCATCCTCTTGGAGGAAAAGCTCAAAATTATTTCTCAGAAACTCTCACTTTTATAGCTCCAGTCATGTGATTTGTGTAGTTGTTTAAAGTTGCATATGTTTCTGTCCCCAAAATATATTTAGGTAAAATATATTCAGTTTATATGCGTTACATGAACGTGATCACATTTGGCTCAGAATTACATTGTTTTAATAAGGTACTTTTGTTGTTGGATTGCAAAAATGTTGGTAAAAGTTGCTTTCTGATAACCTGCTGTAGCAAACGATACCATGAGGCCTAACTGCCTTATCACCCAGTTTAAACAAAAGGAATGCCTTTGTTCTTTGTCAGGCCTAGTGACCTGAGTGTTTTAATATAGTATGTAGAATTCCATGAATCTGAAATTTGCTGGCTCCGAAAACATAGCAGAGTATGTTTTCTAGGTAGGACCCTGATCTGAGTTTCAAAATTAATCTTGTAATTTTTTTTCCCTTATCTTTCTGCATTCTGGCTGCATAAACTATCTGTGTGAGTTCCTGTAACTGTGAAAGAGTAACCTACTGTGATTGTTACTATGCTTATATAGTTTTATTTCTGTTTGTGGAAAACAAGCTGGTCTGTAATTCTGTGACGCATGTTACTTGTATTTGTGAAGCAATTTGTCTTGGTCTGTTCTGTGAGTAGATGGGACTTTATTTTCCTTCTGAGTTACAAAATGTCTCGCAGTAGATGGAAGGTTGCACTTGGCAATCTCAGTGTGTATTGCTTTGCGCACAACTTGTGTTTGAAGCCAAAGAGAAATTTACATTAGAAGCTGAAGAGAAAAGGAGTTGCATGTGAATGTATGATTAAAATTCTGGTTACTGTTGGTTTAAAAGAATGCCCCAAAGCTATTGCTCAAAGAAAAATTCTAGAAATCATTTTTTTTTTCTTCCTGTGTATTTAAAAATGTAGACTACATAATGTATAATCCTTAATATGTAAATTATTTCACCTATCAGGTGCCACTTGATTTGTAAGTGAAAGCCTATGTGCATTACTGGTGTTACCATGTATGGTGGCAAACATACATGGTAATACTATGAGTGCATAACAATTAATACTTTCTAACAAGTTATTAGAAAGGGAAAAAAAAGTAAATCTGAATTTTGTTTTTTGAAGATACAAAACAGATGGATCTGCTGGGAAGGAAAAGGAGGCAATTCTGGAGGAAGATGATGAGCTCTGGGTGAAGATTCGACACAAACATATTGCAGAAGTGATAGAGTATGTGAATAAATTTAAAAAGTATTAAGAAAATACAAGTTATGAAAGCTTCTGTGAGAGGGGATGTTTGACCCACTTTGGAGAAAGTGGGAATATACACAGTATTGAAGGATGCTTACAGTATAGACTACATCCTGTTGAATAACCAGTGCCAGCAAGAAAACATACTTTCAAAAATGTAGTATTTACAGAGGTATGCAAATCTGCTTGAGGAAAATTTAATTAGAGATATTTCCTAGGAAATATTTTCACAACTTCTAAATGCAGCGGTTATTTTGTGAAAAGTAGTAGCAAGTTATTGCCTCAATTGACATTATGCAAATATCATTAAATAAACAGAATACTTAACTTCAGTTTATTTTGTCAAAAAACATGCTTTCCTCTGAAGAAGAGACCTCTTTGAAGCCTTTGTTTTCATTAAGAGCCTCTTTGTTGCTCATCTCTTCTTAAGAAAAGATTTAAGAACTGTGATGCTGTTGTGTTTGATTGCTTTCTTTTCGTGCAGAGAAATACCAAAACTTTTTAAAGAAATTTCATCCAAAAAAAAGGCAACAGAAGGAAAGGTAAGTTGTTTAAAAGTAACATGATGTTATCGTTCCTAATAACTTAACTGTGTTTATAGTGGGTCAGATCTGTGTGGTTCATGGATCTGCTACAGCAGCTGAAGCTTATCTGAATGATAATGTTTGGAAAATGTCAGGCTCCAACAGGAAGGGAAATGATGATGTTGATTATGAAGAAGGGAGGGAGGTGGGGGGGGGAGGGAAAGACTATTTCAACTTGTGTCATTCCTTCACAGTTATCACTATCAGGTCTGGCCCAGTTAATGAAAAAGATGCCGCACTTCCGTAAACAGATTACTAGGGTAAGGGCTGTTTTGTAAATACTACTTAGCAGTAAGTCATCTCTATGCTATAATTTTGTGTTGGGTGTTGTTGAAGTCTAGATTTATTCTATCACTTCCCTGTTGAGCATCCTGTATAACTTTTTTCCAAATGAATGTTTTTAGCTGCTACAGCAAGAAGCACATTTGTTTCCAGGTATTTCATTTTAGCAGGTATAAAAAGCTTAATTCTTTGAATATTTATATACACTTTGAGGATTGTAGATACAAAAGCCGTTAATATTTTTTTGATTATTATTTTGAGGCTTCCATCTTTGCTCACAAATATTTTGGTACTCCTGAGTGATATCAGCTGGAATACAATCATTTTTCACTGCTTTATCATTAAGCTGGTACCTTTGTACAAGTCAGTTCTTTCCATTTGCAAGGTGTATTTCAAGTGGTGTAAAATTCTAAAATGTTCCTACTGCTAAACTTGAAATTCGCTTCCCTCCTACCACCCCCCAAACGCTAATCTTTAGGTGAGGGCTGAGACACGGAAAAGGCATGATGGTACTGAAGGATAGTGGAAGGGTTGATTTGTAACTGGTAAAAATGATTACTTTGTACTTATGCTGTGATGCATTAAAAATAATAAGTAAGCTTACTGACAATGTGATTTTTGTCTTCCAGCAAGTTGTCCACCTTAACATAGCAGAAGATTGCATGAGCAAGTTCAAACCTAACGTAGAAAGGCTTTGCAAAATTGAACAGGTATGTTTAAAAAAAACCGCTACAAATTTGACTCTATTTGCAGGAATAGATACATTTTTAACTAACAAAACTAGAGTGTCTGTCTCTATCGCTTTTGAGATAGTAGTACTAGAAATAAGTGAGCTGCTCGAGTTCTCTTTTTCGCCTTTAAACTTGACTGATTTGTATAAAGATCGTCTTTGTGTTTTCATCTTTCAAGTCTCCTGGGAAGTTGTCGTGCTACCTTCCTCAGAGGGAAGCCCTTTTTGAATGTCTGGGGAGAGCACCTGTTAGGATGGGGCATTGCAGTTGTACTGCTGACCTCAAGTAAAAACTATGCGTTCATATTAATATGAATGCTAGGAAACCTGCTAGGAGAAGAGCGTATTTTTGAATTAATACTTTGAAATGTTTTGCGGGGGAGGGGGAGTGTGTGTGTATATGCATGTCTGTATATGTATTTTTTTGTTGTTTCTTGTGTTTATTCTAGCTTGTTTTTATTGTAGAAGTCTGGATTGAGCCTGTAAAAGATGAAACCCAGGACAACTGTTGTCAAAGATCGTGTTGTGCTATGGTTGCTTGTATTTAAGCTGTTGTCATGCAGATAGGGTACACTTTTGATAGTCTTATTAATGAGAAATATAATCTGTTTGGCAGTACTACATTCTAGAAACTCTTCTGACTCCCAGTGCAGAATGTATTAAACTACCCTAAATGTTTAAAAGTGTTATAGCATTATTATAATGCTGTCGCTATTGAAGCAATTATGTCAGAGGCTTTTGGTACTGAGTTTAAATTTGTGCAACTGGATTCTTTACTTAAACTTACTGTTTCATAAAAACACATTTTGGAACACAACCAATACTCTTTAAATGATTGCTCACTAAAACCATTCCCTTTGTTTTTTAATTTAGGACTTGGCTCTTGGAACTGATGCAGAAGGTCAGAAAGTGAAAGACTCGATGAGAGTCCTCCTTCCAGTTCTGCTCAGCAAAAGTCATGACAATTATGATAAAATTAGAGCTATTCTTCTGTATATCTTTAGCGCAAACGGTATGATAAACCACCTTATTTTTCTCAATGCTGTGGATTTAAAGTGAAGTTTTAGGCTAGAGCACGGTATTTTCACCTGTATTAGAGTTAATGGCAAAGTGTAAAATAGATACTATCCATCTTCTGCAGCTTCTCTTCTCTGATTGGTATTAAAGATCCTATTGGTAAAGAGATAAGAGATCTGTATCCTGTTTCAGCATCATCCCTGTACTCGGGATGCTTGCAACAGCTTAAATGTTTTCCTTTTCACACAATATCAAAGCTGATAAAAGGGACTCCATATCCATTGCAACCTAGAAATGAAGTCAGTACAGCAGAATTTGTACTAATGGAGGAGAAAATAAAAGACAGAATTTGGCCTTAAGGAACGAATAATAATATTGGGTTCAGTTCTCAAAAATGGTATTTTTTTAATAAGTAAAATAAGGTATTATGCTAAACTTAGCCTAGGATTTTCTTTAATGGGCCATTGTATACTCCTCTAAGTAGTGCAGAATGTGAGAGACAAAGAATTAGTTTTATTGACAAAGTCTCATGCTAACTGAAGTCTTACTATTATTAATTTTGTTCTTATGTCAAAGGAACTACCCAGGAGAACTTGGACAAGCTGATCCAGAATGTACAAATAGAAAGTGATAGTGACATGATAAGAAATTGGGAATACCTTGGGGTTCCTGTTCTCGCTTCAGTAAGAAATACTGATTTTTTACTTTCGTACTATCCAAGTACTTGTCTACAGCTCTTTCAGTAACTCTGAGCAGTATTAGCTGAGTCTTATTTTTGCAAACAGGAAATTACTAGGAATTCTTATTTTTATGATGTATCTAAATGTTAAATCCATTAAGCAATTAACATGAATAATTTTCAAAGTGATGTATCTATAGTGCTTCGTGTAAGATCATCAGAAACTGACTCGAGCTATTTGTTTTTGGGAAGTGCCAACTTCTTCAGTTCCTTGTCTCTGAAATGATTATTTCTATTATATGTTGAATTCTACAGGTGATCATACGTTGGTATGAGTAATTATTTCTTTATGGTTTCCTACTGCTTCCCTACCCCCAAACTGGAAACTAGTTACAGAAAACATGTATATTGTTTAATGCAGCTCTGTTTTTTTTCAGTCTCCTCAGTCTGCTTCTCAGCAACGTAAGCAGCCCAGAAGAGACCGTTCTTCAGAAGAAACTTTTCAACTTTCTAGGTGGATACCTGTTATGAAAGACATTATGGAGGTAAACTTGAGGAACTAGTTAATTTGTGGGTATAACGTAGAAACATATTAAAGTGAACAGTTGTATTAGATCTTTTGAAATTCCTTAATACCGGAGTTACTTTTTAGTAAATAGTTCTCTTCAATAAAAGTTTCACTTTTAGACTATACGTAATACTGGAAACTGAGACTGCCTTGTGTTAGTGAAACTCCTTATTGGAAGTTGTTTTAAAGTTGACATAAACTGAAGTGAAAGCAAGAAGCTTGAACTGCCTGTCCTTTGTGTGGTTGGTTTGTTTGTTTTTTTGTTTTTAACCTCTAATAAGTCTCTAGACTGTAATTCAAATGTTAAATACATACAAACTGTAGATGGGATGAAGCTGGAAAGTTTTACTCAGCAGAAGTATAGTTACTCTGTTTGTAAACCTCTTTCTAAGCAACATATAGTGGCTGATGTCAGATGGAATAGCGGACTGCTGGATCTTTTAGTCTGGCCCTGTGCAGTCATTTGTAGGTTCTTGGTGTCTTTAAATGACCGAATCTTAAGGGGACCCTGACTTCTATATAGTCCTATGGAGAAATGAAGTAAGTTAGGTTAGTTGTAAACGAAAAGCTACTGGTGAAATCTGAACAATTAAATCCGTGTTATACTTAGAAAGAAAACACACGTGTTTCCAATTCCTTGGGATGTATGAAAGCCTCATAATAATTTTTAGCATTATGTGGTGTAGTGTTTTGCTACATAGGAACACTGTTTTTGGGAAGCTACTTGCTATGAGTTGTTCCACGGTATTACTTCCTCTGGCATTAAATTCTAGTTAAGCATCCTTAATGGGAATTAAGACTTGACAGATTTTAGGTTTACACGACTGTTTAAAGTCCATCTTTGTTTTGCCCTTCAGGATGCTATAGAAAACAAACTAGATTCAAAAGAATGGCCTTATTGTTCTGAGTGTCCTCCTACCTGGAATGGTTCAGGAGCTGTAAGGTAAACTGTTTAATTCCTTGAAAAATAATTTACCCTTTTCTCAGTATAAGGCTTTCGAATATATAAGAGAAAAATACAAATGTGCATACTAAGCTGTGAAATAATTTATATAAGGTAATATTAAGGTGTAAGAAGTATTTCAGTTAATCTAAAGCATGCTGAACTTGGCTGTTAGTTTAATAACTCTAGTTAGCTGTGTGTAACTTGTGTTCAGAGTTTCTCCCTCTGGCTTCAGAGTTAGAAATAGCATTTCCATGTTTGCAGAATGAGAAGTTTAAACCATTGAGCTTTTTCATGGAAAGCAGTTTTGGCAATGGGTTACAATATACTGTAACTTAAAAAGATGTGTTTCTTTTTTTAACATGGTAGTGGTCCTCATTTTTGAGGATGAGTTCAGTAAGTTAGGTTCAGCTTCTGTAGGTTCTCTCATTACTTAGTGAATATGGTCCTGTTAGAAACTTGACCTCTGATACCAAGGAATGGTTTAGAGAAGCCCAGAAGTGTTAGAGATCATAAAAATCAATTTACCTGCTAAGGAATGTGAAATTATGTTCTTTGTACCTGTAGATTTACTGACTAGCACTGACAGGTAATTTTTTTTTTTTCCTTAAGCTTATGAAAATATATTGTCTTCTCCTTCCCTGTTAACTCCACTAGCTCTTGGACCTCATGGCCAGTGTCTGCCAAATTGACAGAGGGTTACTGCTTTTTGTACTGTTATTTAACGATGACATAGCTGAAAGACAATAAAGTATTTCTGTTGCAGAAAGACTGTAATATATGCTCATCACACTAATCAGATGCTAACATTAATGGGGAGGGAAACGTTCCGTGTATCTTAAACGTGGAGGACACTTGAATTGGAATTTGTACCTTACGAAGCAGAAGACAATCAGTGCTGAAGATGCACAGCCATCAGTTCTGTTACTTCCACTGCTAAAACCAAAAAAACAAAAAAAACTGTTGGTGTGCAGTTACATTCCTGGCTATATGTTACAATAATCAATGCAAGGAAACACTAAGGCAAGTCACTGTACGTTGTAACCAGGACTTTGTCTTGTAGGCATGCAATACTTGAGAATTTTTTAGGCACCCTAGCAAAGAGAGATCAGGAGATAAGGAGAGATCAGCAAATATTAAGGCCTTTGTTCTTTCTGTTCCCAATTATCTGGCTCCTATTTGATAAAAGTCAAATACTTCTTAGGGATGCTGCTCATGTTAGGGGACTGAAAAAGCTAAGACGCGGTAATCATCTGGCTCATATGAACCTCTCTTATGAAAAATGTCACTTGAATTGGTGGTGTGCAGAATTAAGCTACTCCGTAGGAGTCCTTCGTAGTGAGCTGTCTGCGCAACAAGGTTCTTTTTTTGTATTTATTTTACTCCTTGGGATAACTTAATAGTTTCTGTGTGATGTGCTACTTGTTTTCTTTATAATTCTTTTAACTAGCAACTTGTCTAATTGTTTTGACTGAAATTATAATCAGTGAAATGCGTGACAGAAATTTACGAACGTGTTATCTTATGAAACGTTTTACAGTGCTCGCCAGAAACCCAAAGCTAGTTACCAAGACGAGCGAAAAAGTAGTGCAAGACTGATTATATTTGTGATTGGAGGCATTACATACTCTGAGATGCGCAGTGCTTATGAAGTTTCTCAAGCCTACAAGTCTTGTGAAGTTATCATTGGTAAGCTGATCTCGGGAAAAGGCGGGTGTGTAGGGATTTACTTGAAAAAACTGTGTGTAGTCTAAACATGAGTTTCTGGAAAATGTAAGCTTCGGGTTTTTTGTTTGTTTTTACATTCCCTGTATTAGTTCAGCAGATTAGTACTGTAGTCAACATTTTATACGTGTGTGTTTAAACTGTGCAGTTCACTTAAACTGAAAAGGTGCTTTTATCTAGTTTGCTTGATGTTTGTTTTGCAACAAGAAATTAAGGACGGTGAAGACAGTTAAGCTGAAAATCACAGAACAGTCATCATGAATTAAGTCAGAAAAATGTATTAAAAGATATTCTCTGATGTATAGCGAAAAGGATTAAATGGACCTACATTACTTTGCGTTATATCTCCTCACAAACTTATTCATCTGCCTGAGCTTTACCTACAGTTGAACCTACTGCTTTGGTTACTTTTGGAGGGAGTAGGAAAGCTGATAGATTAGTGCAAAAATTACTTTTGGTGGGGGAAGGGGAGAGATGCATTTTTTTTCTAAATGATGCAGCTTTTTCAGTGTACTGCAGTCCACTTTGCAACATCTTCTAGTTCTTGTTATTCAAACTTGCACAGCAAACACCACGATTAATAGCTGGTGCCCTGAAAGCTATAGTGATCTCTAATTTTCTTAGGATTCAGCAATAGGCTTATAAATGCATGAATTACTAGATGGAGTAGTAATTTCTCAGCTAATACTTCAGAGAGAGTCAACCTCTGTTCCAGCAGCTGCTGTCCTCCAAATAATCGTTTCCTATTACGATTGGTAAATTTAGGTGCTAAACCATAGCACGCTTGAGACACATCTCAGTGTATGATGCATCAAAACAGAACTCAAAGATACAGAACCTTAGCAGATACCTGTATCCGTCTGCAGTGACAGCTGGAGACCAGGTATTGGGGTCATCTAAAGCATCCTAAATTGCTTGAGGTGACTGTCTTTTGGCAACTAAATTGAGTCTTGAGTGTCAAAAATGATTATCTAGTATCACTTAAAAAAAACCTCACCAATAAAAACCAACAACTTTTCTTTATAGCAACAACAACCTTGATTCTGATACCTAGAAATGGTGGCGGGGGGGGGGGGGGTTGTGATTTTTTTTTTGGTTGGCTGTTCTCTGGTTGTTGTTGCTGAGGTAGGTTTAACACTGGTCCTACTTGTCCAAGTCGTAATGGAAAGACAGGATAGCAGCAATGTAGTTTGACTAGATTGTTTCTTCATCTGAGGCTTATTGACAAAACTGTACTTGGTGTAGGTAATTCTTTTGCTGTAGTATCTGCCACTAACCTCAGTACCGTGTTCCCTTTTCTTTGCAGATGATTGGTAGTTTGCTTGTAATCCTGATTTTTTTTTTTTTTTTTTTGAGGGAAAGCAGTAACTGCCAAATTTCCATGATGCTTACAGGAAGGTGAAAAATTTCCCCTATTACCAGTCCAGAATTTGAGGAATATTTGTCCAGCCAGATTAAGTGACACTGCTAAAGTTCAAACTCCAAGACTACCCTAATCTTAAAGAGTGAAGATTTCCCTTTTGTAACTTCAGGGTGACCTTTCTAGGCAAAAATTGAAATGACTCCCTATGAGAACAGGAGATTTAATAACTGTGCATGCCTGAAGAATACTGAAGATTTTCTTTGCAGCTCTGGATTTAGAACTTATTGCCCAATTTTTTCAAAGAAATATTAATCAGTAAAAGCCAGTTCTCCACAGAAGCATCAGTTTCAGAAACATTACTTGTGATAAACTCTAATCCCCATGGTTTCATGATTCTAGCATAAAGCCCGTCGTTAACTTACCTTTTCATAGAACGGGCATATTTTTTGCAAGCTAGGGCGGTTGCATAGAACGAGAGCAGCCCAGGTTCACACCTGTGCTTCGAACAAGGCAGAGCAGGGACTCGAAACTTGTATCCAGGCTAAGAGCCCTAGTCGTGTGGTCTTTGCTGTCCCCTCTTTTCTTCTCCCATTGCCTCTTCTCACCTCTCCCCTGATCCCGGAATATTGAGAACCTTCGTTTCATTCTGTGTAGGGGAAAAGAACTTTTCTTTTTCCAGATGTCCCCAGTGGGCGGAAGAGGGACGCTACCTACCTACTCATGACACTTCCAACTTTCGAACCTATCAAAACATTTTGAACTGTTGTACTTTTCTGTTTTCCAGATACAATCAAAATCAGTGGCACGTAACTTTTGATTCTTAAGAGGGAATGTCCGCAGATCATAAGTATTAATTGTACAGTATTAAGATCATAAGTATTAATTGTGCAGATCATAAGTATTAATTGTATGTCTGAAACTATGTTCTACTCACAGGTTCTACTCATCTTTTGACACCTAAAAGACTACTGGATGAAGTAAAGAGCCTTAGTAAGCCAAAGGATATGGTCTGCATTAGGGATGAGTAGAAATGCTGATGTTCATAATATATTTGGAAAAGACAAACAGTATGTACATATTCTTACGGAACTGACTTTTCCAAGTACTGTACTGCACAACTATGTGGTTTTGACTAATGAATTGTCATTTTATAATTTAAATTTGCTGCTTTTTGGGGGACTAGAAGGCAGAGAGAGTAAAAAATGAACACTTGTATTTTTTAGATTGTATTTAGTATAGGCAGTGTTAAACTGTAAAGTGCTTTTGGAAAAGGGGCATGTTGACCCCTAACAAACTATGCTAAGATTTGTTACCGTGATTGTATATATACTCTATTAGTTTTCTGAGAACTGTGAAAGCTTTATGTAACTGGAGAGTTTATTTCTTAACAAATGGCTGAAATAAAAAGGGCCTAGGTGCTTAGGTGGAGGCTTCAGAAGAAAGTTTGTAAATATCGTAAAATTATTTCACACAAGTGCAATGGCTCTAATTGTAACACTTCCTAGAAAATGATTCCCTGAACACTTTTTAAATGTATGTCATCTTGTGAAAAATCATGAAATGTAATATTTCACATGCCTGAAAAATCAGAAGAAGGGGTTTCAGATGGTGGTGGGCAAGGTAGAAAGTTAATCATGGAAGTAGTAAGCACTTCTAATTTCAATAAATGACTTTTGAGAAAATGTTGTCAGTTTTGCGCACTGAAGTACACTTTATATTTAACTGCCTACAGGGATTATTACTAAAGCTTTTCAAAAATAAATACTTTATTCCTTATAAACTTCCTTATGACTGAGTCTATGTAGTTCCTTTATTTTATGAGATGAGTTAACTGAACTATTACATCAGCTTCCATGTCACTTTTAATATTTCAGGCATAAAATCTTTGGGGTGGGGAGGGGAAGGGGGAAAGGAGGGTTGAACGGAAAAGAAAAGAAGGGAAGCCGTTGAGTCTTTGCAGTAGTTTGGTAATTTAAAAGAAAGATGTATTACAGTAGACGAGAACAGTGAACTCTACTCGATTTGCTACATTTTACAAAAATTCATTTGTGTTGGAGTGGATCGAATTAATTCTAAATTGAATTTGTTTCTGCAATACTGCTAATGTTTAGATTTCTCTTAGAAAGTTATTCATGTGTAAACTTACAACCGTGTAACGTTTAAAGGAATGTTGTATTGATGTGCCTTGAGATGTTAGTTTGCATGTAAAATCTGAGAGAAATGTCATAAAATCATGGATATTAGGTTGCTCATGGTTGTTTTATTTATTTATTTATGTTTCCAACTGATAGTGCGTGCATTTTCTGTGTTGTAGAAGTAGTTGCAGAAGTTGCTTGCCCTTACTTTTGCCCTCAGGTTAACTAGCACATTGAGAGAACCTCTTTTTTTAGGTAAGTTCATTCAAAGTCCATTAGGAGGTGGGAAAAAGTAAAATTGACTTTTTTTTTTTTCTTCCACCTGCTTGCCCCCTTATATCAGAGAAGAACAGAAAAGGAGAACATTATCTAATGATGCCAAAATCTTGCAGGACATGGGGTATGATGAGAATAAGTGGATATAGCTTTTAAATTCATCTACGCAAGCTAGGCATCTAACATATACTGACTTTTTTTTTCAGTAGGACTACAGGCACAACCCTGTTTAATTAAAATGGTTCAATAAGCCTCATGTATACCAACACTTCTTAAATTTTATTTGAAATATCTATAAATGTTATAAACTGGAATTCAAGAAAAAAATAAGCACAAATATCTCAATAAAAACCAAGAATAAAAAGTACATATTGAACGAATGTGACCTTCAGCATTTTCTCACTAAAGAGGTACATCTTGGAATCGGTAGTAAACAATGATATTTAAATTGCATATAGTTATGCTTTGCTGGCAAGAAGAACCCAAGTTCAGTGTAAAAGCTATATGTAGTTGCAAACTAATCTGGTTTCCTGTTCCCAAAACTTAAAAGCAATAAATGCAGGACAAAATAATTTACGAATTGAAATAACTGGTTTCAATTTGTATATGAAGCTCACTGTATCTATTAATTTGTTACAGAGAGTTGGAGAAATATCAGCTGGAGCAATGTTGGACTATATTTGCATATTCAGATATTTAGACTTTCTCCAAATATCTGCTTTGGGTTGAAGTGCTATCACCAGCTCAAACTTGATAGCCGATAACTACAAGACTAAGTTTTTTAACTCTGAAATCCATCACCCTCTTCGGGAAAGCAAATCCAAGCGTACTAATAAAGGTGGTTTTATAGAGATCCTTTTAACATAGGAAATCTGATGTTAGCAAACTGTAACCCGAAGTAGGTTCTGATTTGTTACAATTCTGTACGCTGAATATAAAGATTACTTTAAGGTTTTTTTTTTTTTCCAGATATCTTCTCTGCTTCTTTTTTCTAGATCAAGAATTGTTTTACCAGTGGGAGAGCTGTAATAAGATAAACTTCTCCCCCCCAATGCCTAACACTTTAGAATGTGCACGCAAATGTATCTTGTAACTTTGAAAGTTGTTCTCTTATTGCACATTTTCTAATAAAATAGATACCTAACCTGTACATGTAAGCCCAGATCCACATAAGCAATGATGTTGGTTGGTAAAGGCGGATATTTGCAAGTGCAATTTTATTTCTTTTTTAGGTTGAATCCGGAAGAGGTTCAGTAATGACCAAAAGGCTAATTTGAAGGTAAGGAACAATTTCAATATGATGTATGATTGACTAAAATGGGACCCTTGATCAAGGGGAAGAAGTGGTGACTAAGGGGTATGTGATGGAGGCCTCTAAAATCATGTCAGTATGGAGACTGAAGAGGCAGTAGACATTTCCCTTCTCTTCAGCATGTGAAGTAACAAATGAAACTTGCAATTGTTAGGATCAAAACAAAAGGATCTTTAGCATCTAAGGCATCCTGCAGCAAAGTATGACATATCTTAAATTATATGGGGTGTGTGCATGCACGTGTGCAAACAATTTGGCATACTCATGAGAGAAGAATCCTTACAGGCTATTAAAGATACTGCTCTTGATTCAGAATGACTGTGAGCTGCAATTTGCTGAAGGCTCAGAGAATATTCTGAGGAGATGTTACTAAGTATTTGCCTCTTTAAGTATATTCTTCCCTTGGCATCTGCTGTCCAGGCACAGGACCACAAATTCAGTGATCCGGATTAAACAAAAGGTCCAGCTGTTTGTGGTGTAGAAGAGATTCTTCTTTCTAGAGATTCCTTTTTTTGGATCTAGGAATCATACAGCAGTCACTTCAACAATTAGGTTCACTATGCAAAGTAGTAACAGTGACATTCTAAATGCTAATCTAGCACAGGGGAGTCACCCTTTGGTTGTTCTGCACCTTTGTCTTAAATAAGCTAAATAAAACAAAAATATGGGTAATAAGCAGAGGAAATGGGGTTATAAGGATATGCAGTAAGAGCGTAACGGAGAAAAGAAAGGTTAATGATGATATTGGATATAGAGTGTGGAGGCGATTTAATTCTTAGGAATACATAGACAACAGCTGGTATTACTCAGTTACTGAGACATGTGAGGAAATATCTTAAATATGAACCATTCTCAATGTGTGCCACTTAATATAATTACATATATTAACTATGACTTGGTATACTAACACGATGCTCATAGATGTTTCAGGAGAAGATATGTGTTTGCTTTGCTGGTGCACTTAAACAGCTGCTGTTAAGGCATGACAGAAAAATATATACAGTAATGACTGATATGCTTATTCTCCTGTTTCAACAACAACAAAAAAAAGTTAAAAGGTTTAAAAGCTAACCTTGCTTGTTCAAGCTAATTTTTATAAAGCTACCTTAAGTAAATCCTTAGAGAAAGAAGGCAGCTGTAGAGCAGTAACAGGGTTTAGGCAACATGTTTTCCATTTCTGAGACTGTGTATAAACATGTGGAATACCATCATATACTCTAGTACTGACAGTCACAGAACTAGTTGACTTTATAATCTTTTTATTTATTATTCTGTATTTGTAGAGATACTGACACTTGTATATGAACGAGCAAAAGAATTCAGTATTCGAGACTGGGTAATTAAAGCTGTTTGCTTCTAACTTTAGCTAAATCTTCTGAAACTGCTTGTACCATTCGTTCTGTAGTTTTCTTCAAACTATTTGCTGTCTGTATGGCATGATCCAGGGCAGAACTTAGAATCTGTTGGGAATAATAAAATATAGCCGTGCTAATACTGAAGACAGATGTTTCCATAGGTATAGAACAGAATGACAGAAAAGTTTAATTAAGATTCTTCTGTAGCATGTTCAACAGATCTATTTCAAATACACATGGAAAAGTAAAAATTCTGAGTCATGTGGTAGACTACTGCAGAATTTAAGTTGGAAGTGTCTGCTATTTGTTTCTCTTGAAAAGTGTAATCCATTGCATTGAAGGATATTTACACCTTTCTAAAGTAGCAGCCCCAACGTGATGCACGTTTGTAGCATGAGAGGCTTGTCCCATTTCCCACACCTCTGGTTTTGGTAGCAGTTAGTGTGGCTAGGGTAGACACTTTTTGTTTCAGTACAAAAATTATATACAAAATATATAATTATATAATAGTACAAAAATTATACACAAAATATAATTCCAGAGGTAAGATCCATTCCTCCTTTCCTGGCCCCTTTCCCCATTTATACAGGCACTAAGTGGCATAAAAAGTCTCCAAAATACTCACATGAAGGGATATGCTGGAGTGAAATCTTTAGATGTGGCAGTATTTCAGAACATTCAGGTGGCCCAGAATGTGCATATACAGCCTGCAGTGTTTAAATGAAACTACTACAGGCTAAGAAGAAGCTATTGTGATGGGGGACTAAGGGTATATAGGTGGCCTAAAGCCATTCTGGTGCTCTCCACCTATCAGTTCCTTAAGTTCTACTCTTGATGTCTGAGAAGCACAGCCCAGAATCTCTTACAGAGACTACTCTGTAACAACACTTAAATGGTCTCCTGTATTCATGCCAGTTGCCTTATACTGAAGTTTATTTGGATTTTAATACAGTAAAACATAAGTGATTTTAAAGTAGCGTGAAAAACTTCATCTAAAATGCAAGATTCTGTTCTTATTCCCTCTTGTCTGATCCTGTTCTCTTCAAATGGACAAGACAAGCTTAGACTATAAGAATCCATTTTCCAAGGATGTTCAATAGTGCCATGATGGGATGCACTCTTCCCAAGCTGTCTTTTAATTTTCACTCTAAAGTCTTACATTTGCATTGAAATTGCTTGCATTTGTGTTTCTGATGTTGACTGCTGATTTGCTTCCAGGAGTCTTGTTTCTGGGTAGGTATTGAGGTGAAAGGATAACTGTGTCGTACGTGCTTGCACAGCAGGTTCTGGCAGTCTCCAAGTTTTGCCTAAAGATTAGAGAGAGAGAGAGAGAGAGAGAGAGAATAAAATATATACAGTTTTAGTAACCACAAGATTTTTTTAAACTATGAATTAGATATTTATACCTTGTTAGCATGTTTGTTTGCAAGTTAATTTTATAGTGAATAGAATTTTTCATTTAATTGTAAAACACAGTCCAACGTAACTCGTGTTACATATGCGCTACAGTGAGACAGAAAACGCTACAGAACGCAGGGTTAGGAAATCTCTCATAACGGCAGACAGCCGTATTTTCTTGATGCTGTAACCGTCTCTCACAAAGCAGTCTGTCATTGATTCCCAAGTGCAGTTATCATACTTCCAGGCAACTACTACTGTGGTGTAATACGCTCTCAAAACTGTGGTCACAACAAAACTTGTTTGAGTTTTGGTCTAGACTGTGTAATAGTTAAGAATCCATTTTATTTCTCAGTCTCCCAGTTTAATTTAATGTTGAGGACTGTTATTTGTAAAGAAATAATTGGTAGCAAACAGAACTGCGTTTTAACTAATACAAACTTACTCCTGGATCTGTGAACGTGACATTCCTTCTTTTTTCTTTTTTAATCAAAAAGTTTGTCAGCTAAAGAGGTTACAGATATTGATTCTTCATTGAGTTAGAAAGATTGAAGAATTACTCTAAGAATCATTTACACTTGCTCTTATGGTAAATATTTTACTTTCATTAGTGGATAAAACTCTACAATGTGTTCTGCAAAAGAGAAAGTATTGCCACTGCTTAAGACACTGATGATTTTTTTCCGTGCTGAATCTTTAATAACAACAATTACTGTTCTACTGCTTATATGCAGCAATTGCTACAGCTTACCTTTCTGAAAGTCTATTTACAAGTCGATGTGGTTGTTCATTTCTGTAAACCTTTTGAGTGGTGATTCTCTTCTGTGAATAAGCTGAAAATGAGGAAGCCATGTTTAGTACAAAAGCAGAAAAATGTCATTTCCTATATATTTAAAACTTTTTTTGGTTGACTATTAAAACTATTTCTTTGGTTACCATGAACAACTACAACAATGACATCTACATCTTCTATACAGCGTTTTTAAAAATTTTTCAGTTTAATATCACTGCAGAATAAACTTAAATATGGTCAGGAAAATTTTCATAAATGAGGCCAAATTATCCTTGCTGGGTTTGGTTCTTCAGTAAATGTACACTGATTTGTATTCCACTCCATACAGTGGAAGACTGCAAGGGGGGAAGTGTAGTGTAATCAGACTATTATAATCCTAATAATGAAGCTAATACTACTTGGATTCATAGTGTTTTTCAGTCTTGAAACAGAGAAGTAACTAATATTTTCTTCCCGCTATTGAAACACACGCCGTTTCTTCCTGGAGTACGCATGGGGAGAGAAAAGAATCTAGGAGGTAGGTGACTTTAAAAGCTTAGATATTCAACATCTTTAAAAATTAGGCTTTTTCTGACCTTACTGAAGGTCATACGCAATTTCGGTGCAGAGCTGAAATTTCTGTTTATACTACATCAGATGACAGCTAACACTGCAAAAGTTGGCAGAGTAATGTCTGGTTTTAATAATTTTTCCATGTGGCACTGGAAAACTGGAGGTATTCCTGTCATAAGTGAAATATGGAAGGGATGACTGACAAAGAACTAGAGGAAGGTAATGCTATCTATCATGCACAGGAATTAAACTCAGCTATGTATGTAAAAGTTGGATTTGCTGATCTTACTCTGCAAGATTTTTACCCATCCACTGTTTAGATACAGTGCTACTGATTGCTTATACTAAATTAAATTTGGCCTGGCACTATAAATACTGGTATGGGCAGCATGGATTTACGCCCCGTAATCTAGCTTGTGTGTTGTAATTATTTTAGTAAGACCTCATACTTACAAGTTAAACTGGAATTTTTAGTTCTACACAGGGCACAAGACTGAGCAAACTCTTTGTAATTCCCGAGTTTAAATTGATCTCTGCTTCCTCTAGTGCATCTGTGTCTAATTTCTGAAAACAAAGACACTAAGGTTAAAAACCAGGACACTAGAAACACCGATTTTTTTTTTTTTTTTTTTTTACGTAGGCTTAAATATTTTTGCAATCGTTATACCTTTTCTATCTCCATGTAATCTTGCATTGAATGTCTTGTAACTTTCAGTCTCGTGGTTCAAAAATTCCTCACTTTGTGAATCATTGCAAGAATCACAGGCTGAGATGTCTTCTGAATCACTGCCTAAAATCCCCAAAACATATTAAAAAGGTCTGAAATAAATACTGGAAATCATGGCTTGGGTACCTAGGTGCTTATATGGCTTTCAGCACCATAACTTCTGAGCTCTTCACTGCCATTAACATTACTGCAGTTCAAAATAATATATATATATTTTTTTTCCCTCCATTTTATGGGTGGATTCAGTAGTAGATGGAAGTACAGTTCTGGCCTTTGCATGCCATCACTACTTACTCAGGTTGGTATCTGATAAATCAGTTGGTTTTCCTTGAATGAAGATTGAACTTCTTCCAGTTTTCCTTTTCTGGGTGTTTTCATTACTTTGAGCATGAAAACAGAATGAGATCTTAATTACATGTTAATAGTTGTATGATGAGCCTTACGAACATGTTAATGTTTGACCACCGCTTAGTTAAAAAGCAAATTTACTCTTAGGCAAACTCTATTCATACCAGTTATCTGAAAAGGTGGTAAGTAGAACCTAAATTAAAAGTTAACCAGTCACAAATCAATTACCCCTTTAATTAAAGGGTACGTTCTGACAAGACGACCCTGATTTAGCTGTTAAACGTACTTAAAAGTAAAGGTCTTGATAATCCCATCTCTGTATAGCAAAGTGTTATGAAATCCTGTATACTTACATACAAGTGTCCACACATTGCATCAAAATATTTTCAAGGGTAAGGGTGATACAGCTTCTAGTAACTTGCTTTGAGCTATTTTTAAGGTTTTAAATGTATTGCTTATAGAGAACTAGAGGAGTATTTGGAGACATACCTTCTGTCAGAATCAAGTTCCTTGTTTGCCATATTTGTAACGTGTATTTTCAACTTGGGGCATACAGTACCATCAAATTTTTCTACTCGTTCATGAAAATGGTGATCAGAAGACTGAGCTAGTTTTCCTTAAATGTGAGAGGGAAAACTGGAAGCTAGGTGAGTTTTACTGGATAAATACTAACATCTACTCAATAAGATAGTCTGAGAGGATTTTTCTCTGGTGCTTACCTTCTTTCTTCAGAATGTTTAGATGAATATCATGTTCTACACGGCACGTATTAAAAGATCTAGCTTTGGACGGAGATGCAATTTGCCAAAAATTCCAACTGCTGAATAAACCATACAGAATTATTTTATCACATTGACGTTTCTGTAAATAAAACTTTATAGATTGAACTTTATACTTGAAACCTACACAGATCTATCAATATGCTCACCTTCCATGGCCACCAGATTAGTTCATGACAGTGATTATTTCAGTTATTTTTAGTTGCCGAAAACTTGGCAGTCATCTCTATGCAGGTTGCTGAAATGCATCCCTGAACAGAGAGCGAACGTAAAGCCTGTTATCTTCATGCGCTATTAAAATAAGTTTGTGCCATTTAAGCACCATGAACCATTGGTCTTGGTGAGAAGGGCTACTTTGTAACGTGAGTATAATCCTGTCTTTAATAAAATCCATGGGAGTTTTGTCGTTTCTCAGGAGGTCGGGTATATCACACATACTGGCGATTACAACAAAGGGCTGCTTGTTACCATATCATCCTATCGTTGTATATGTGTTAAAGACATTATTCAGTGTTTCAGGCAGAATCCAGTATACAGACATATGGATGCATCAATTTAGCTGTAGAAAAACACTTTTGCAAACAGGCAACATATGTAATACACTTACCTTTCCATGCTTTCTTCATCTTCGTTCAATTTTTGACTTGATTTACCCTGACTGTGGGATCCAAGACCTTTAGCACCATGTATTTCCTCAGGTGAAAGAAATCTCTGTTGCACCCAAAAGGCAAAACAAATCGATACATGATTGTTTACATTATTTTGTATGCATCAAACAGGATGGTGTGAACAATGGCATTATTTGCATGTCACTTTCTATATTGCTTTTAGTTGCCATCGACTCTACAAATTGATTTCCCTGGTTAGAATTCTAACTGTAGAGCAGCCTGGAAAACCCTTGAACACGTTCTAATTTGTGTGGTTGGAATATAAAACAGGGCTTAGTGTAGCTTTGAGAAAGATTAGCACATGTTAGTTCATTTCTCTCATGCCTTAAAATTAAAACAAATGTTTTTTAGGCAAGCAATTACTTTGTAGGTCTGTCCTCCAAAAAAGTAGTCAAGGCAAGCTAGCAAACACAGTTAAGTCTTTCTGAAGAGAAGCTAACTTTATCACAGATTTCCGAAACGTTCAGAAAGTCTTTCCTTAAATCTCTCTTCTGGCAGCCAGTGCAGCAACGTTGTTCTGTGCTGTGCTAGCTCAAAAGTTGGGCAAAAACTGAAGGCAGAAATGTTGTGTTGGTGATGATGAATGATCTCAGAGCTGAATATGTTCATCTAAGATGATAAACTGAGTATGAAAATGGGTATCATACCATTACATTTGGAGAATGCTTATTTGCGAGCAGACTTCCTTTTCCCAGAAGCTCCATTTCTCTTTTGGGAGTCAGTTTGTCTCTCTTCTGTAATTTCAATTGGCTAAGGGGAAACCATTTATTTATTTTATTCTTCTAATCTCATTAAGATGACTATCACTTATCAAATACTCCCCAAAAGGGCAGGCATAGTCTCTAGAACCCTTTTAGAAAACTAGGACGGGAATTACCTAAGTATCTGCATCCTTCCCCTTTTTTGTATGATTGAGTATCACACAAAAAGTAGAAAACAATTTTGCTAGTCATTCACATCCTGAATTCATGTGGTTGCAATAAATTTTATACAGAGGTATGATTGAACTCCTAGAAACTGATAGGTTTTTGGCTTCAGGGAGTTATCTGCCTGGGTCTTGTGGACCTCAGAGGAGGAACGCTGGACTGGAAGGAATTCTTGGGTATGTAGGTAGGGAATTATATAAGATGTTTAGTCTGGAAATACTCCCATCTGCTCTCACGTATTACAGACATCCCAACTTTCTATACTCAGTAAATAATTGTAGATCAATTGTTACAACTTCAGTAGTTTTCTCTGAGTTGTATACTTACACATGTGGGTAAGGATTGCACTTGTCACCCTCTAAAGAAAGTGTATGATTTGCCTGAGGGATCACATCAATTGTATGACTTGTATTTTCTGCCTCATTCTTCTTGTGAAGAAATGCAGTTTCAGTAGCTTTTCTTTCTGGAGGATCAGTAATGCTTGAATTTACTGAGCTCTGTTTGAAGTAATCATAGTAAAAGACAGCTGTAGTATGCGGTCATTGTACTGCAAGTACATGACTCCTATCAGCTAGCATTTTCTGAATGTCTCTAATTTGGGATTCAGAGAAGACTGGCTTTTAAAGTACTGACAGTGAAAGCATTTGGTGATATTTAATCATCTGTAGATTTGTAGAAAGCTATGATGTTTCTTGTGCATTTATGATCCAGGACAAAATAGTACTATAGTTACCAGTAAACTCCTGTTTTCTATAGCACAGTAATGTATTTATTCTTCTAGTAATTCTGCAGTTTGAGAATCCAGGACAAAGGAAGTAACGCTTTGTCAGAAAGACAGATTTGTAAAAGTTAAAATGTTTACTCATTTTCTTATTCTGAAAGCAAATGCTTTTGAAGTTGGGATTAAAAATAGTCAACCTAGCTGTGTTTTTACTTAGGTTTCAGTTAGAATTAATGAAATATTATGAAGGTCATATTGCACTTAAAAAAAACCAAAAAACAAAAAACTATTTATTTGAAGTAACGTGCTATCTAAAAGTATCATGCTTTTACAAATACTAGGTGACTACAACCACACTGAGGTTAATGAGATTTGCATCCCTAAAACACAGAGACTAACGCAGGCTTTAAATGACAAAACTTGCTAAGTTACCTCACAAAGAGAATAGGATGAATGGGCAGATTCATAAGGAGTAAGCAAAGGAGACAAGCTGCATTTGCTGTTATCATCCTGCTCGTGGATGTCTTCAAGCAGCGTGCCAAGTCTAAATATTTCCCCTTCCACCTTTCTAAACACAATTGCAATACACAGTTAGTGAAACCTTTGTAAAATGGTGTTTTATTTCTTATTGGGGAAACGATATTGGGTATTGCAATAAAGAATCCATAAGATAGATAAATTCATAGATTTCACTGAGTTCACTTAAATACTTGAATTAATTGGTTAAATATTGCAGTTATAAGTAGGACACACAAAGCCTGTGATCAGTTTTGGCTAAATCACTTCTGGCTTACCATATATAACATAAGATAATGTTTTCGTTTCTGAAAAGTGTTGTAAGGACAACTGACTTAACGGTTGCAAGATACTCGGAAAATATTGAGAATATGTTGAAGTACTACTTAGTACTTATTTTCTAACCTTTCAGGATCAAACTTTCCAATGTTGATGGACTTGTCCTTGTAGTTCTGCAGCTGTAAATTACGGTGCTCTTCTCTAGCAGTTAAATAATTCTGTTCCAGGGCATCAAGGCGTCTTTTCAACTGACTTAACACCTTCACCAATAAGAAATAACTCAACAGTAAATGAAATTATGATGTAGCAAGCTATACTGATAGCTACTTATGCTATGTAAGCCAGATTCTATTTGCAGTGATGTTAAGAATTTCGCTATTGATCCGAATTGGAACAGGACTGCATCGTGTACGTCCGCTAAGTAACCTGTGCTGCTATTTTATGCACAACTAAAATGTGAAACCGTCACTTCTGGACTGACATCCTACATGTCAAAATTCATAATTTTTATGGCCATTTAAGGCCTTTCACAAACAGTTTTGAGTTGTAATCCTTAAAGCAGATTTAAGAATTCAGCCCCCTACTGAACACCTTCATTTCTGCTTTGATGCTCATAATTTCCATCTGAGATTGGGGGGAGGGGGGGGTGAGTATCTTGCCATAGATTCCTAAGACTATAGCCATTTAAAGCTCATTTCAGATGACTGAGAACGTATAAATGGATTTACCAGGTATTTGTCTTGTAAAAGGAATGTCTCTTGGGTCATATGTTTAGAGAAGTCCTCTACCTTGAAGAGAAAATTTGAGATTTTTATTTGGGATTTTTAAAGTGAATATGCCAAATGAATATTAAATTTGAGCATCAGTGCTAAGTATATATTAAAGCATCACTGTTCATTACTTCCATTTGCAGTTGATCTGTTTGTTCCTTTAGTATTTGAGTCATCTTTTCTCCTTGTGTTAGTTCTAGAAGTAAACTGGAAGGATTTAGGCAGTGTGCTTCTACTGTACCAGCTGATGGTAATGTTGATACTGTTGCCCCACACTGTAATCCTGCAAAACACAAGAGAAGAAGATGAATGAGTTGGAACGGTTTCTGCCCAAACTGTTTTACATAAAATATAATAAAAGTTATGTCAAATTACATGAAAAAAATCATCATTTGCATAGTCACTATAACTTTTATTTACCTGCTTCAGACAAAGCAAGCATAGGTTGTATAGGAAAAGGAGGGTGTAATGCAAAAACTTCAGAGGATGTCTCAGCGCCTCCTGAGTAAATGGCAAAACTTGGATTTGGAAAATCTGACTGAGGAAGCATCTGTTAAAATATGAAAACTTTGTTTATAGAAACGCTGTTTAGAAACACGTTGTGGATGCTAACTAGAAGAACTTATGAACAGCTCAAAACGCACAGGACAAGTTATCAGTAAAATGAAATATGTTTCTTGTAACTACCTCCTATAGTTTGCTGTATTTATATTTATAATTTGACAAATGTTCAGTGTCTCGTTGTATAGATATTTTGTGGAAATTAGAGGATTTGCGTAAATGGGAGGAACAAGGTGAAGATAGCAAAATAGTTTGGGTAAATATTCATAATCTTAGAGATAAAAGAGAACGAATTTAGGAAGACTGCTGTTTTGAGAGATTTACCTTAGGATTAAGTCTCAAATAATCGGTATGATTCTGGGCATCAGCATGCTGTGTCAGCATCTTGTGTACAGCCAGGAAATAACAGAGAAAACTGTTAAACATTGTTACATCTCAAATAATTTTACTAAGATACAAATCTAGGAAAGGAGTTACACATCTGTAACAGCTCTGTGAATGAACTCCATGGCAGGGCATGAAATTGAAAAATGATGATCTAATTGCTACCATAATAAAGACATTTTAAAACAGTAAAACAAATCCTTCAGAAAGATTTGGAATTGGCCAATCAAATACCAGCATAAGGAGTTGAAAAGTGTTAAGGTGTGTGTGTGTGTGTATATATGTATTTTTTTTTTTAAGGAAAAAGTACTTTTGGTGGATTTGAATGTTTGCTTATAATACTAGAAATGAGTGTATCAATGAAAAATGAAATAGTTTGTAGTGAATTTTGTAATAATTTGATGGGATGCTTTGTAATAACAAATAATACTGCAGAACATTGTTAAATATTTGTTAATGGAAGTTGCATAGAAATCCTGTCCTACAAAACTTTACTCATGAAAGCAATTTCTAACTGAATTGACGTGCTCACTGCTGCCTATGGTTTTCCTGCGTGAACTAGTTCTGTTAGATTTTGTTGGGCAGAGAATACTTTCTTGTGCTAACATCACTCTACAGATACTACAAGTTTCTTAAATGACCTTATTTACCTCCAGCTGTTGCAACAGTTCTGGAACACTCATTTCTTCTTGATTCTCTACTTCAACAGAATCAAAGTAGTTCCTGTTTTCTACAATGTCATTTGCAATTACTGATTTACTTGGCAAAATAGGAAAGGTTTTTGTCCTATCAGTGACAGGAGCTGATTTATTGTTGTCATTTCTTTTTGGTACTTTAACTTCTGAAGCAACTTTAGAGAAATCAGTAAGGCAATAATGAACTTGACCTTGGCCAAATTTGAGCTCGTGAGATGAACCTGTTCTCTTAAATGGATCTTTTTGTTGTTCTTTTTTAGTGTTTTGAAAGGTGTGTGTATCTTCATTCTCACTAATTAATGGTGAACTTTCTTGTACACACCCACACTCAATAGTAGCAGAAATAGATCTCTTTGAAACAAACTTATTTTCATTTAGCAAAGTTTGATCTTTCTCACCAGTGTTTATTTCCTCATGCTTATCTAAGTGATACTCTTCAAAGTTAGTTGCCCGTTGTTCATGAGATAAAGGGCACTTGGCAAGTTCTGAAGTCTCAGGTTTATTCAGAGGTTCATCAATACTTTCAGTAAAGGATATCTCTGGTATAGTCTCGCCTTCAATTAGCTGGCATGTGGTTATTAACTCTCCCTTAGGAAAATGACGCAAAAGGACATCAGACATTTTTGAGCGAGTGAGGTGTTGCTTCCTATCTGGTCTACTAAAGCAAACAGGTAATTCTTTCTTAAAAGAAGCTTCACTGACAGGCATTTCAACTGAAATTCCAGTTGTTTCTGTGGCACATGTATGGTAATTGAAAACTTCTCCAGGTTGTGGATGAGTTTCATAATTTGCTGCTGCTTTTATATTTTTGTTATCTTCAGAACAGGATATGTTTGAAAAAATATCAGAAATATGTTTTAAACAAGTACAGTCACTCAAATTATCTGAATAATTACTGTAGTGACAGGTTTTTCCTAGATGTCCGTCATAAGGTAAGTCTTCATTTTCCTCATCAGTCGTGTCTGCGATACAGTTTAACTCTTCTAAAAATGAACTAATCATTTGTTTTTTCATCCAGTCTGATGGTTTGCCCTTTTTCATAGTCTCCATATCCTGATTACATAGTGCATGAATGTCATTGCTTCTCAGTTTTGAGGGAGAGCTTTTTTTGCCTGGATCAAAATCTGTAAGGTATTGAGTAATAGTTATTTTAAATTTAAATACAGTTGAGAATAGGATCTACTTATTTATATCTTGGACCTACCGCAGTTTTTTTGCTACTCAAATTTACAGAGCCGCCCTCCTGACATGGATGTTTTCTTTTCACGTTTACACTGGTGGAAATCGGGATTAGCCAGGGAGGAAACAAGAGTGACATAAAACAACAGAAGCATCAGGGAAAGGAAAATCAGGCTTTTACTGCCAGGTAATTTGTCCTTGCTCACTAATCCCCCCTGTACTCTTAGAGACCGAAAACTTGGTAACGGCGGCAAGAGCAGCATAGAAAACCTGCAGTACAACTTGGGGGGGGGGGGAGGAGAAAGTGGCGTGTCATTAACCATAGCCTCTCGCGTCTCGCTTCACGGTATGAAAGGTTTCCTTGGCCTCCGCCCCCCAGGGGAAAAAGCACCTCTCTCTTCTTGTCCGCCTTGATTCCTACCCCCGCCCCTCTCATCAGCTAAAATGCTGTGCGTTATTTTAGTATGATGCTAATCCCCCGTCGTTTTAGCCCGGCAGCACGCTCTGTTTCCCCTGACGCGCCCTCGGCCCCTCCTAAGGCGGCTGCTTCCCGGGCAGGGGCAG